AGAGAGAGAGAGAGAGACGGTGACCATTTCGGAACGTCTTGCTTAAGAGATGGTGCCATCTCCATTCATTCCCGTCGCCGCGTTGACGGTCTGGGGCTTCTTCGAGCCGGGCTTCCCTGTGACGTCATACGCAGGGACTTCCGGGTTCCTCTTCCCTTCTCTCTCCCGCCCTCCCCACCCACCCTTTCGCGCTCCTGGGACTTATTTCACGCACCTGGCCTGTCAATCCCAGCCTGGGCTTTGAGGGACGGGCTGGTGGGACTTATTTGGCGCGCACCCGGGCTCTTCCCGCTCGGGGCGGGCCTTTGGGCCCAGGCGGGCCGCGGATGGCTGGACGGGGCTTGGCTGGTCCTGCAGGAGGACGGAGCAGGTGGGCTCTGCGATTCCCGCGATCGGTGGGGGGGGGGGGTGGCGGGAAGGCCAGCGTGGGAGCCGTTCTGTGCACGCCGGGTTCTGTGATGGTGCTTCACCCTAGACCCAAACCTTGGGTGGAGACCGCGGGGCTTCCATGCTGGGATCGGGGCCGGGGGAGAGACGCCCCGCAGTGTGCAATGCAGGATCCATCTTCATGGGAAGGTGGCTCAGTGGTAGAGCGCTTGCCTTGCATGCATGAGGCCCTGGGTTCGAGTCCTCAGCACCACAGAAGCAGAAAAAAGCCGGAAGTGGCGCTGCTGGGCCTCAAGTGGTAAGAGTTGAGCCAAAGCAGCTCAGGCCCTGAGTTCAAGCCCCAGGACTGGCAACAATTAAAAAGGAGAAAAAATAATAATAATCAAGATGCACAAAGGCCATGGCTGAGAAAAAAGAGTTGAGACAAAGACCAGAAGAGCCACAGTGCCATGCTCAGCCAACGTTGAAGTCAAAAGAGTGGGGAGCCTCTTCTTCCCTCCTCTTCCTCCTCTTTCTCCTTCTCCCTCCTCCTCCAACCCCCTCCATCCTTTTGTCCTATGTGGGACTTGAACTCGGGTCTGGGCACTGTCCCCGAGCTCTTCTGGTCAAAGCTATATCACTCTACCAATTTGAGCCACAGCCCCATTCCCCCCTCCCCTTTATTTATTTGGGTTTTGTTTTGTTTTGTTTTGTTGGAGTGGTTCATTGGAGAGACAAAGTTCACAGGGATTTTTCTGACTCGCTTGGCTTCAACCCCGGGATCCTCAGATCTCAGCCTCCTGAGTAGCTAGGATGACAGGCGTGAGCCCCCAGCACCCGACAAAAGTTGGGTTTTCAGAAGCATGAAACTTCTAGCTAAGTTTTCCTGACCCCAAAACTCTGCCATCTAATCCCCCCTTCTACCAAGAACTGAAGTTTCTGAGCTTCTTTTGCTCAAAGCTAGCACTCTACCACTTGAGCCCCAGCAACACTTCTGGCCTTTTCCGTGTATGTGGTACTGAGGAATTGAACCCAGGGCTTCATGCATGCTAGGCAAGTACTCTACCACTAAGCTACATTCCCAGCCCTGTACCTAACTTTTTTGTTCAAGGCTAATGCTCTACCATATGAGCCACAGCTCCACTTCCAGTCTTTTGGTGGTCAATTGGAGATAAGTCTCACAGACTTTTCTGCCTGGGCTGGCCATCCAAATCACAATCCTCAGATCTCAGCCTCCTGAGTAGCTAGGACTCGAGGCATGAGCCACCGGCACCTGGCCTACAGAGAACTTTCTAAAAATCAACATTTGTGGTTGATTTACTGGTGCTGGAAGCAATGACATGGTGCTCCAAAACCAGCACCAATTAAACAAACTTGTTCTGTTGCTTTTCACAGGCGATTTGGACTGCCATCATGGGCATCCGAGGACTAATGAGTTTTGTGGAAGATCACAGCAACGAGTTCTTCACCGATTTGAAGCTGCGGGACACTAAACTTGTCATCGACGGCTATGCTCTTTTCCACAGACTGTGCTTCAACTCGAACTTGGAGCTCCGGTATGGGGGCGATTATGATTCTTTCACAGACGTTGTACAGAAGTTCTTTGAATCACTGTTCGCTTGTCACATACGTCCATACGTGGTATTAGATGGAGGGTGTGACATTTCAGATAAAAAACTGACAACCTTAAAGGATCGACTCAGGGAGAAGATCCAGGCAGCCCATTCTCTGTCCGTGGGTGGGGGTGGCTACGTATGCCCCTTACTAATCAGGGAAGCGTTCATCCAGATATTGACCAAGCTGCAGGTAGGTTTTGTCCAGTGCTTTTCCGAAGCAGATCGGGACATCATGACCCTCGCCAATCACTGGAACTGTCCCGTGTTATCATCGGATAGCGACTTTTGCATTTTTGACCTCCACGCTGGGTTCTGCCCGTTAAGTAGCTTTCAGTGGAGAAATGTGAACGCCATCAAAGGTACCCAGCACTATTATATCCCGGCCAAGTGCTTCTCCCCGGGTGCCTTCTGCCACCACTTCCACAATATGAACAAAGCTCTCCTGCCTCTCTTCGCGGTGCTGTGTGGCAACGATTACGTGAGCCCACCTTTCGTGGACGCCTTCTTAAGTAAAGCACGTCTCCCTCTCCAAGGTCCTGGTTCGAAGGGGAGGAGACACCACCGAATTCTGGCCCTTCTGAACTGGCTGTCTCATTTTGTGGACCCGACAGAAGCACTTGATAAGATTCTACAATACGTCCCCAAGAAGGATCGCCAGAACGTTCAGGAACTGCTCTGCTCTTCCATGGAGGAATACCAGCAATCCCAGGCAAAGCTACACGACTTCTTCCAAGGCGGGGTTTACGTCTGTCCTGACGCCTTGAATCTAGGTTTACCTGAGTGGGTACATGTGGCTTTAGCCAAAGGCCAGCTGTCTCCTTTGATCAGTGATGCTTTGGTGCTAAGACGGACTATTCTTCACACCCAGGTAGAGAACATGAAGCAACCCAGCACCCACAGAGTATCTCAGCCCATCCGGCAAACCATCTATGGCCTCCTGTTAAATACCTCAGCCGATCAAGAGAACATGGGCCAGAAGAGCAGGCTGCCTCCTATGCCTGGAGCCGTCAGCGAAGTGGAAAGACTTCATAAAAGTCTCAAAACATCACTCGTTGATCCAGTCACACTGCCCAAGGACCACTGCGACTTGGGAAAACTGGTGGAGGTAAGTAGCTGGGAATCATAATGAAGCTTTTTGTTTTTGTTTTGTGCTGATCCTAAGACTTCAACTCAGGGTGCTGTTTCTGAGCTGCTTTTGCTCAAGGTTAACGCTCCACCAACTTGAGCTACAGCTCCACTTCTGGCTTTTCTTTGTGATTAATTAGAGAGAAGTCTCACAAGACTTTTCTGGCTTTGAACCAAGATCCTCAAATCTCAGCCTCCTGAGTAACTAGGATGACAGGCTTGAGCCACTGGAGCCTGACCATAATGAAGGTTATTTTGTTGTTGTTGTTGGTTTTGTCAGTCGTGGGGCTTGAACTCTAGGCCTGAGCGCTGTCCCTCAGCTTTTCAGCTCAATGCTAGTGCTCTACCACTTGAGCTACAGCACCAATTCCAGTTTTCTGAGTGGTTTATTGGAGATGAGTCTCATGGACTTTCATTACAAGCATGAGCCACCGGCGCCCAGCAATAATGAAATTTTTATAAGTTACTTTAAAAGTTAATGAGTGAAGCCAGGCGCTGGTGGCTCACGCCTGTAATCCTAGCTACTCAGGAGGCTGAGATCTGAGGATCGAGGTTCAAAGCCAGCCCGGGCAGGAGAGACCGTGAGACTCCTATCTCCAATAAACCACCAGAAAACTGGAAGTGGCGCTGTAGCTCAAGTGGTAGAGCGCTCGTCTTGTGCTGAAGAGCTGAGGGACAGCGCCCAGGCCCAGAGTTCAAACCCCACGACCGACAAAAAAAAAAAAAAAAGTTAATGAGTGGGGTCTGGGAATGTGGCTCAGTGGTAGAGTGCTCGCCTAGCATGCATGAAGCCCTGGGTTCGATTCCTCAGTACCACATACACAGAAAGAGCCAGAAGTAGAGTTGTGGCTCAAGTGGTAGAGCAGTAGCCTTGAGTGAAAGAAGCTCAGAGACAGTGCCCAGGTCCTGAGTTCAAGCCCCAGGCCTGGCAAAAAAAAAAAAAAAAAAGGTTAATAAGTGAGGTTGGGCACAAGTGGCCCACACCTGTAATCCTAGCTACTCAGGAGACTGAGATCTGAGGATCAAGGTTCAAAACCAACCTGGACAGAAAAGTCCCTGAGGGATTCTTATCTCCAGTGAACCACTCAAAAACCAGGAAGTGGAGCCATTGCTCAAACTGGTAGAGCAAAATTTGCTCAGGGACAGTACCTAGGCCCTGAGTTCAAGCTCCACAACTGACAATAGAAAAAAAAAATTGGCCTAGTAACATTGCTATCAGCAGTATGAGAGACCTTCTTCTTGTATTTATACGCTGATACTTGATTTTCTTTTTTTTTTTTTGGCCTCAGTCATGGGGTTTGAACTCTGGGCCTATTTTCCTGCCGGGCTGGCTTTGAACCGTGATCCTCAGATCTCAGCTTCCTGAGTAGCTAGGATGACAGGCGTGAGCCACCAGCGCCCAGCTTGATTATTTTTTAATCTTTAAAAAACACTGGCTATAACCCATTTTCACTGTATTTGACATCGGTGCCCTGCATCTTGTATATAGACTTCTCTAATTCGGGGAGGGGAAGGGAAAAAACAAAATGCTTAAATAAGGATACAGGTTGACCCATTGTAACAATGAGATGTACAAACCACTTCGTTAAAACTGATCTTTACAACTTCGGTGGGGAGAGGAGGGGTAATTGTGAAGGTGGGAGGGAAGAGATGGTAGGGGGAAAATTTGTTTAAAAAAATAAGGAAAAAAAAAACCAGGACTACCTCAGAAACAAGTTTAAGCTCCACAACCAACCAGCCAACCAAAATAAAAGAAAAAAAGAAAAATGGAGACTATGGTAGTTGGGTAGTAATTTCATTCTAGCCATTTTGGTGGGCAATGACTGATTCCAGTACCTTTTTGTGTGTTCAACAACTACTGGGATATCCTGTTGTATGAAGTGTCTGAAGATCTTTTTTCTGGGCGGGGGGGTTGCCTACCGATCAAATACACTGTGAATAGCCTCTCCTGTTCTCTTTTTACTTTAGTACATTCAATAAACAGTTCTTAGTACAGTCAGTTTATCCAGAAGGGAAAAGGGAGAGTTATCAATTACAGAGGTCCGTACAGTTGTCTTTACGTGAAACCCAACTAACTCAGTGAAATGAAGCACTCTAGTTATATTGCTCCCGAAGTAGAGAAGCTTTAAGTGTCTCAGCGCTTGTAACCTGTATTTCAGGTAGGGTGAAACTGTACTGTGGCTGTTGTTTGACTCTCCTTTAGCACAAACTGGCCAATTCTGTACCTAGCTCGCTGCTTTTGGTCTGGTTACACTCCTCTGCAGTGCCAGCATTATCCCTGAAATACTCCTCTCTCCCTGTTGTCCTCTTGTAGTGCTAGGGATGGAACTCAGGGCCTTAAGCATGCCAGGCAAGTACTCTACCACTGAGCTACACCCCCAGCTCTCCTGTCTCCCTTACGTATACTTCTGAAGTAGCCACCAGAGCCAATCCCCGTATAGGAGAAAACAAATACAGTAGGGCAGAGACACGAGACAGGATGTATCCCAAAAGGTGCATCAGTTATCAGTGGTACCCACGGAAGTCAGGGGCAGTAAAGGCAGAGGGTTCATCGTACAGCTTTGGTTCTCAACGTAGGCTGATTTCTTTGCAACAAGGGCAAGTTTCACAGCCAATGTTAAATCTCCGCATGGTACGCAAGGTGAGACGACATTCCCGGAAGTAATGCCCAGGATGCCTGGTGTGCTCTCTCCAGCTCCCTTTGCTCAGGCGACAGAGGTTGCTGTTAGAAACCCTGAAGGTGAACCGGACCATCCTGGAGCCGATCCCCGCTGCCCTGAAGTTGCCCATTGCTGTCAGCTGCTACTGGCTGCAGCACACGGAGACCACGGCAAAGCTCCATCACCTGCAAGCGCTGCTGCTGGGCATGCTGCTGGGGCCCCTGCACACCATGGTCAGCAGCCCTGGTGGGTATCTGGGAATTGCAGGAGTGCAAGTCGTTACTTATGAACTACGTGGACTCGAGAATTCAAAGAATTTCAGTTTGCCCTCCTGTGTCTGATCAGAACCTCAGGGGCGGGAGCAGCCACCCGGAATTCCATCCAGTAACCTTGGGAGGATAATTCTGAACTCAGCCAGGGCCCAGGGCCTTGGAGGCAGAGTCCTAATGCTGCCCCATGCTGCCTGTCTGGGTACTTGGTGCTTTTCACTTATGAAATGCGATTGTGTTTTCCAGCCACATTCTGTGCCCCGTGCCTCCTAGTTCAAATGCCCAGTCAAGTGTTGAGACCTTGAACACTTCAGTTTGCTTCTGGGTTTCAACTCAGGGCCTTGCACTTACTAGGTAGGTGCTGAACCCCTTGCTCCATACCCCCTTAGCCCTTTTTGCTTTCATTTTTTGGGGGGTAAGGTCTTGCATCCCCGCCTCCCCTCCCCCCAGGCCAACCTTATACCTCCCCGGTTGCTGGGATGGCAGACATGTGCTACCAGGCTCAGCTTTTTTTTTTTTGAGATCGGGTCTTGATAACTTCCTGCCTGTGCTGGTTCAAACCATGATCCATCTCCCAAGTAGCTGGGATTACAGACATAACCCACCGCACCCAACCAGCACGTCAGTTCTTCCATTTTAAAAGACTATGAATGTTATAATACGTATGTTTAAAACATGTATGAAGTTGCTACACGGTAGAGCGGTACACAAGTTAAAACGCTCAGAAGTCTTCTCAGTCTCACTAGCCACATCCCAAGTATTTAGCAGCTGCATGCAGATAAGATACCAGGTTGAGTAGTACAGGCATTGAACTTTTTTTTTTTTAAAGATTTGTCCAACTTATTTTTAACTTAATGTGTAATTATCATACACTAACAGTTAAGAGGGTTTCATTACAGTAATGCATACAGTGTGCTTTGAGCAAATGGTATTGGACATTTCTATCACTATGTTGTTCCACAGTTTATCAGTCCTGGGTCTTGAACTTGGGGCCTGGGTGCTGTCCCTGAGGTCTTTTATGCAAAGCTACCATGCTGCCACTTGGAGATGGTTTTCTGGTGGTTCATTAGAGATAGAAGTCTCACAGATTTTCCTGCCGGAGCTGGCTTTAAACCACGATCCTCAGATCTCAGTCTCCTGAGTAGCTAGAATGACAGGTGTGAGCCACCAGCTTCCGCTCAAGGTTTATTTTTCTTTCTTAAATTAGACTTTATTATCTTTAAGTAGTTGTACAAGAGGACCAAGGTTTGTTAAAAGAATGAAGCAGCAGGGGCTGGGAAGGTGGCTCAGTGGTAGAGCGCTTGCCTTGCATGCATGAGGCCCTGGGTTCCACATTCCTCAGCACCACATAAGCAGAAAAAGCCAGAAGTGGAACACTACCCTTGAGCTAAAGAACTGAGGGACACCACCCAGGCCCAGACTTCAGACCCCATGATTGGCCAAAAAGAAAAAGAAAAAAAAGAATGAAACAGCACAGACTCCAGAACATCCCCAAAATGAAGGCTCAAAGCCATCAGAAAGATCACCAAGCTACCAGGAAAAACAACACCCACTGCTACTTTTAAGATAGACATGTGTGTGTGTGTGATCTCCTGTCTCTGAATAATACATACAGTGTAGAGAGATTTCTCAGTGTGCAAACCAGCTTTGTACCTAAGTCCTCCGACAGGGACATACCAAGGGTGTGTTTCTTTTCTTTTAGGAAATGTGGACCCCGTACCCAGGTAGGCTCAGTGCCTTGCTGCTCACTAATTGAAAAAGGTGGGCCTCTTCCTTACTACTTTCAAGTTGGTCCAAATGCTATCTTGTGTATCTCTGCTCAGACCAACCCACAGAACTTACAGCTGAACAGAGAGAGAGAGAGCCCCCCTCTGCTCCTCCTCTGCTACAGAAAGAAGCTGACATGCTCAACCAGCTGTTTCTTTCCAAATAGTAAAACACAATGGTATTTACTAGGCATTGGTGTTTGGCACAGATGGATGTAAAGAGCAATCATTGTAGACCTGTTTAAGAACACATGGTGGAGAGGTAGAAATCTGATATAAAGCGGGGTGGAAAAATAAATGAAGGGTAGAAGCTTGGTAGAAGCATTTCAATTTATCCAACATGGCATTCAGGAAGCCAAAAGAGGACAAGCAACTCATTTTGAAATGAGTTGTTGTTGGTTGTAGAATTGGAAGGACAAGTGGATGCCAGTTTCTTGAGTTGCCTCTACCTAGGTAAGGAAGAGCTGCAGCCAGGCGGTGCTCAGACGCTGTATGAAGAGCTGCAAAAGGTGAAGGAGACGCCAGGCCGGCTGCATCTAGAAACCGCTCACATCTTCTGCCAGTGGCAGAGCTGCCTCCAGATGGGTCTGTATCTCAACCAGCTGCTGAACATGCCCCTCCCAGAGCCAGACCTAACTCGGTAAGCACCGCGGAAGCTCTGGTTCACCTGCACCCGCAGGAAAGTGAAAGGTTGTATCTCTGTAAAACAAAGAGGTTACTTTGCAAGCATTCAACCTTGGTGTACAACTGACCTCAGGCCAGTGTTTTAAATGAAGAGCTAGAGATCAGGAAAAAATAATAATAATGCTATTTCCATACTTTCAAGGAATGTTTTCTAAGAACTGGAGGAGTGACTCAAGCAAGTGGCCCCAAGTTCAAGCCCCAGTATCAACACACACACACACACAGAGCCAGGTCAAGCAAGTGGCCCCAAGTTCAAGCCCCAGTACACACACACACACACAGAGCCAGGCACTGGTGGCTCACGCCTGTAATCCTAGCTACTCAGGAGGCTGAGATCTGAGGATCGTGGTTCAAAGCCAGCCCGGGCAGGAAAGTCTGTGAGACTCTGATCTCCAATAAACCACTAGAAAACCAGAAGTGGCACTGTGGCTCAAGTGGTAAGAGTGCTTGCCTTGAGCTGAAGAACGCAGGGACAGCGCCTAGGCACAGAGTACAAGCCCCACAACCAACCAAAAAGAAAAGAAAAAAATCAGTAGGGAAAGAGGTATAGTGGAGAGGACTCTTAAGTAGGATGATCAAAAAAAAAAGGTCCTTGTATAGTTGCTTCTCTCCGTTGTAAGTCAGTCTCCCATTTACCGGGGCTCGACTAATACCGCCTTTCTTACCACCTGGCATGTTGTTTGCACATTCATTTGAATCTTGATTAAATGCCTACTCTTTTCCTGAGCTGTTAGGGTTTCTGTCTGGCCAGGTGAAGGGAGTGGCAGAGAGGGCCTAAGGCCACAGTGATTGCACCTAACTCCACGTTTAAGGTAGACAGAAACAGAGGCCATGGCGGTATGGTGTTAGAACCAGTGGTATGTACCTGTCAGTGACTCAGGAGGTACTGGAGGGAGGGAAGAAAGTGGAAAGGGATGGTTACCGAATGGCTAGAAGCTGGAGTATTGGGTCCTGTGTGTTCATCTTTCCATCCACATGGATGTTCAAGGCTAGCACTCTACCACTTGTGCCACTTCTGGCTTTTTCTGTGTATGTGGTGCTGAGGAATCAAACTCAGGGCTTCATGCAGGCTAGGCAAGCACTCTACCACTGAGCCACCTTCCCAGCCCTCAACCACTTGTTCTTAAGCAGTGCTATCTCTGGGCCTCATATCTGAGCAAAACCCCAAAGCCCTCTACCAGGCAAAGTGAATTAGCTTCTGACCTATGGACTCCCTGTTCCTCCCCTTTAAAAACTGTGACCATTCTTGCCTGAATAAACCATAAACCCCTTCCCAACCAAATAGGAAACACTAAGAGCACAAAGGTCGTGTTTTGAACAGGGTTGTCCTCTTCCATCAACACAACCAAGAGTCTGTCAGACACTGATTCTACACAAAGCGATGTGTCTATCTTGATCAACTCTGGTCATATGATTAAATGGGAGGGAGGGAGGGTGGGCCCAGAATCCAGTCTTTCTATCTGTGAAGTAAGCTTCAGTCCACATGAAAACCTCGCAGACAATGCTGGCAACTGTACAGTTGTCTGGTATTGCGGCAATTTCTTTTCTCAAATGTGATAAAAAGGACCACTCAAATCCCCGCCCCCCCAAAAAAAAACAGTATATCCAGTCAGTTCCTTCCAACAAGGGCAGATTCTCCAATAACTAGGCAATTAAGCAGAACAGTAAGCTCTGGGTGTTAACATTTGCGGAAGCCAGGTTAATCACAGTTGCACCGAATAGATGACTTACAACCACTCTCTCCCTCTCTCCCGTTGTGCAGACTGTATAGTGGAAGCCTGGTGCACGGACTATGCCAACGCCTGCAGGCATCAGCCTCCGTCGAAGGCCTCCTGAACCCGTGTCCCGAGGCCAAGCTTCTTTACGAACGTCTGCTCACTGCCACAAAGTCCTGCGCCCCAGCCGAGTTATTCTTACCAAAGCGCAAATCCAGCTCCAAAAGGGACAAGCACAAGAAGAAGGGGACCAGCCGATCGAAGAACAGAGTGGGCACTACCCCACACACCAGGCTGTGGCATGACAGAAGCAATCGCTTTGAGCTATTGAGGTCTGAAACCCCAGAAGGGCACACGGAGGCCTGTGAGCTTGCATAAGACTATGCATCACACGTAATGTGCAAATGTACAAATGGGATCTCAACTGAACATGGTCTCGTACCTCCTTTGTTCTTTAGGACTAAAACTGTTAGGGGATAAAAATTACAACAGAAAATCTTGGAATTCTAAGGCTTTTGAAAAATACTACTTTTAATAAATGCAACCCGATTTAAGAAATGTCTTTTTTGGGGGGTAGGGGGGGTGAGGAAGAAGGGCTGGTCATGAGGCTTGAACTCAGGCCCTGGGCTCTGTCCCTGAGCTCTTTGCTCAAGGCTAGTGCTCTACCACTTGGAGCCACAGGCTCCCACGTCTGGGTTTCTGGTGCTTAACTGGAGATAAGAGTCTCAGATTTCCCAAACCAGGTTGGCTTTCAACCACATTCCTAAGATTGCAACCTCCTGGGTAGCCTGGGTAGCTAGCACTACAGGCATGAGCCACATTTCTTAAATATGTGTGTAAAACCACATTTGTCCTTCTAATGTTCTATTTCAGTAAGCTTACAGTGATATTCTGTCTACTTTAAACTACAGAGCAGTGGGCACGGCTCAAGGAATAAAGTGAGCCCAAGGCCCTAGTTTAAAATTACAAGACCACATAAAAAAAAAAAAAAAAACTTTAAATTGCAACAACTTAGCCAGCTATATTTTTAAGGATATTAGTCTTATTTCAGTTATTTTCCACAGCAAAAAGTTATAATCATTTCAAAATTTATTTATCTATTTTTCTCAGTTGTGGAGCTTGAACTCTGGGTCTGGGCGCTGTGCTTGGGCTCCCCTTTTGCTCAAGGCTAGTGCTCTACCCCTTGAGCCACAGTGCCACTTCCGGTTTTCTGGTGGTTCATTGGAGATAAAAGTCTATAGAGGGCTGAGAAGGTGGCTCAGTGGTAAAGTGCTTGCCTTGCATGCATGAGGCCCTGGGTTTGATTCCTCAGCACCACATAAGCAAAAAGTAAAAAGCCGGAAGTGGCGCTGTGGCTCAAGTGGTAGAGCGCAGCCTTGAGCTGAAGAGCTGAGGGACAGCGCCCAGGCCCAGAGTTCAGGCCCCTCAACCAGATCCCCCCCTCCCCCCCAAAAAAAGTCTATAGACCTTCCTGCCCCAGCTGGCTTTGAATTGTGATCCTCAGATCTCAGCCTCCTGAGTAGCTAGGATGACAGGTGTGAGCCACCGGTGCCCAGCTCATTTCAAAAATTTTAAATACCTTCTTCATATTCAGTAAATACAAAAGAAAAAAAAAACCCTGGGCTGTGAAAGACAGAAGGGCAGAAAGACACTAGACAGAACAAAGGAAGGTCGGCATGTATGATGCACTCCAGTTTTAGAGACATTGAACTGTAATGGCCCCAGCACCATGAACATTCTGAGCTGCCAGATCTAGAGGAGGAACCAAAGAGAAGACGTGAGAACATCAGTGATCGGCAAGCAACACGGGCCCTCTCTGCTTTATACTAGAACTACTTCCCCTCCCACCACTGAGCTATACCCCCAACGCCTCATCCACTTTTTTTTTTTGGGGGGGGGGGCTGGTCATGGGGCTTGAACCCAGGGCCTGGGCGCTGTCCCTTACCTCTTCAGCTCAAGGTGAGCACTCTACCATTTGAGCCACAGTGCCACTTCCGGTTTTCTGGTGGTTCATTGGAGATAAGAGTCTGAGGGACTTCTTCCTGGGCTGGTTTTGAACCGTGATCCTCAGATCTCAGCCTCCTCAGTAGCTAGGATGACAGGCGTGAGCCACCTGTGCCCAACCCCACTTGATTTTTTCTTAAAGACATAGGTTTTCACTGTGAAGCGCAGGCTGGCCTCAAACTCAATCCTCCTTCCTCCTCAGCCTTCTGAGTGCTGGGATTTTGCGCGCACACACGCGCGCACACACACACACACACACACACACACGTCTTACTACAAATGCAAAAGGAGATGTTCAATCAGGGCTTTCCAGTTTGTAGCCTTAAAAATGCTTACTCTGAAAGCTCTGTAAAAAGAAAACTACAGTGTTCTTATACCTTTGCCCCATGACAGTTTGAATTTCTATTCATGCTGCTTAGGCAAAACCTGTGTTGAAAGAACTTTTACAAACATCTTACTCTGTCAAAGCTGTTTACTTATTTATTGCTTCACCTTGTAAACAAAAAACCATGGGGCTTATGAAAGAAACTCATTTCTCTCCTTCAGCTTCTTTGACATTTTAGACAAGATGTATTTGACATTAATCTCCAGAGTTTAAAAAGACTAAGGACCTTCAGAAGATGTAAGATACTACTTATTTCTTTTGGACATCTAAACACGTAGCAATGCTTACACACAGTTACATCTACATTAGTATCAGGGACTGGTCACTCAACTTTTTCCATTATTGGCAATGGCTAACTCTAACAACCCAAAGTCAAACGTAAGTTGGTTAAGTAAGAATCAACAGTCATATTATGAACTCAGCTCAGAAAGCTTATCAGGATGAACTACCTGTCCAGATTCACACTTATCCATGCCATATTTTATTTTTGGGTCCGGTTGTGGGCCTGAACTCTGGGCCTGGGCGCTGTCCCTCAGCTCTTCAGCTCAAGGCTAGCGCTCTACTACTTGAGCCACAGCGCCATTTCTGGCTTTTTTCTTTTTTGCTTATGTGGTGCTGAGGAATCGAACCCAGGGTCTCATGCATGCAAGGCAAGCACTCTACCACTGAGCCACCTCCCAGCCCTCCATGCCATATTTTAATATACCAATCAGCTACTCTTTGACTGACAGCTCAATCTAAAAAGCCATTTTACAGATTTTCCACTGACAATTCTAAGTGAAAGGTGGGCTGTATTCATTTCTAATGCCAAGTGTGCTTTTAATTAAAAGCACCGCAAAGATCATGATGAACAGCTTTCCTGAAACAGCTTATTCACAGTTTTATCACCTGCTCTCCCTGTCTATGAGTTTCCCACATACAGGATGCCATTAACCTTTCTATTCTTGGTACACAGGGGGTACTAAACAAATGTTTAGTAAAATGATCTGTTCACTCACTGAGGAGGGGATGTGGACATACACTGCACAGTAGTGCCAAGTGACACAGGAAGAAAGCAAGGTAAAATGAATGAAGTATTCATCCCTATGAGAAACTACGTATGGCCCATATACTACAAGAAAGAGAGTCCAACGGAAAGTAAGTTTAGGATGACTGTGAGTCCAACAGGTGCCCTGTGCCTGGGTAGAAAAGGTAAAGACAGATATCTTATCCTGTGGATACAGACAATGCTGGCTACCCATCCCGCTGGGAGCACCTTGGGGCTGTGTGATTTCATGCAATACACATCTCCAGTGTTCTCAATGCTGCTTCTAGGTGGCCCGTTTTTATCGTTGAAAAATTATCTCCCTAACTGGTGAACTGTTTCAAGTTCCTTTCTTTTTTTCTCTGATGTTTAACAGTCAGTGAAGTAATCTAATTGTGTGTGTGGGGGGGGGGGAGAATCATATTAAGAAAGAACTCTAGCAAGTTCTAGGACTGGGAAATGGAGCGAGAACGAAGAGTTTAGATATTAGCACACTTAAATCATCCATGCTAATTTCATTAATATACAGAAGCTGCATACTACTATATATTTGTGTGATTCTTTTTAAACCAAAAAGCTTCTGAGTCTTTAGCATCCATACAGACAATGTGAATGTTAACAGTACTAACTGGGAAGACATTAACATACACAAAGAAGTCATTTTATTTTTAGAGTCCAAAAACCAAATGAAAAGATAGGCACATTTATTTCATTCAAAAATCATACTCTGAACCCACGCTGCAAAACAAAAATGATTGATACGCACATAATAGGTATTTCAAGTTGGTAGCAGAATAAAAAAATCATTACAAAATTTAGGTATGAGACATCAAATTGTTAAAGATAGAGCTGGTTAAACAATGGCCTCCAAGCTCCATCTAATAGAGAACAATGTACAACTGACTACTTAGCCTGAGTGAAGGACAAAGGGCAGACATCTCAGCTTCTTATACTCAGGTTTCAGTAAAAATGACTCAAAGAATAGGTATTTTCCTGTCCATGACAGTATTTCAGTGTTACCATTTGCAATTTCTAGTTGAACAAAAGCTTAGGAATGATTTGTTCTGATGGTTCATGAGACGTAAAGCTTGCTACCTTCAAAAACAAATAATCTTGTAAGAATTGGTGACCCATTTTGGCTTTGAGAGAGAAATATTCAGCAGGAAAATGGGTTTCTAGATTCTGAGTTTCAGGCCCAAATTGGCCTCACATTCAAGTTACCCATGTTTCGCCAAGCTCTTATAAAAACTGATGGCACTACACAAAGCAAACCCATCTACTTCTCTAGCATGCCCAATGAGACACAAAGAAGATAGAAAACCAATGGGAGAAGAAAGAAGGGGCAGACTAATGTCTGGGCTACAACCTAGGCCCACAAAGCTGCCTAAAAAGATGCCCTAAGAGCAAGGCCAGTGGAGGATCTTCTGCTTGCACCCTGGTTCCTAAACCATCTGGTCAGGACTGGGACTATTTTATTCTTTTAAGTACAGTGATGTATGCTTCCTAAGAAATATGCATGGAAATGCACATGTGGAACAGTAAGAATAATAAAACTCAGCTATTTAGCTGAAGTTCTTAGGTTTATATCTAAAGGATGGCAAGATGATATTGACAATGCAGATAATTTGTATCTGACTGACAAGGAGACCTGACATGTTAATTGGTTATAAAACTATACTCAGTCTTAAAGGGCTTTGACTCTATGACTAAGTGTTCAGTACAGACCCCGTAACTCTAACTAGAATGCCACTGGAGATCCCTGCACTAATTCTCTTAGACCAAAGACTCATACCTTTAAATATAAAATAAAATAAAAAGTAACCATTTACACTTACTAAGAAAAGCAAACATTTACTTCAAACTGCAGTATATGCTTTTCAATCACAAAAAGAAAGAACAGTGATCTGACAGTGGTCATATCCTGTGCAAAAAAAAAAAAAACCAAAAAACAAAAAAAAACTTGAAATATAAAAATGGTAGTAGCACAAGTTGTCTAAGCTGCTTGTATTCTAGAAGAAGGAAAATACAGTAGTTGAAATATGGCACTCCTGGGAATCAACTTCTAAACCAAACAGAATGCCTTTGAAATGATTAAATTTATTTGTGTATTAGTAAGAAAGCCCCACCACCATAAATAGTACAATATTTAAAAATAAAAAAAAATATTTATATCTATCTAAGATAGATAGTGTATGTGTACATTAGACCTCTTTAAGTGTAGAAGGTGGTTCAGGTTTTGCCTTTTTTTTTTTGTAATGAAGTACCTGCCCATATGCTTTATAAAGTTCCACTCTCTCACAATCGCCAATTTAAATCAAGGAGTATGTTATCAAAGTTGCATAATTTCATTTGGGACTGCCAGCAGGTTAAAGTCTCAAATCAAGTCTTTAACATGAATGTTCATTTTTTTTTGTCAATAAACGGTTAAAAAGTTCTCAAATCTTCATTATCCTCTTGAACTTGCCCTTCTAAATGATCCTCAGACTGCAATTCCTAGTTTGCAAATTAAAAAAAAAATGCAATATGCATCATACTTCAAGAAAAGATGACGACGATGTTGAGCTAACGTTCTTCTGGATCTTTTCTCTGCTCCTTTCGACCTTCTTTATAATTTCTGACACGATGCACACGGACGATGTGAGCCCCAGGAGAAATAACAAATCTGCAAGAGAAAACAAGCTGGGCTTTAAGTTCTTCCAAACTTGCGATCACAAAGCTTAACCGTTTCTATTCCCTCGCGTTCTGCAGAGCTTGTAAACCATGAGCTACAAATATGAAGATGAAAGCTCAAAGGTATGAAGTAACTAAGCTACCAAAGGCATGGAGGCTAGATATTTGATATATTGAAAAGAACATTTCTTTACCCAGGATGCTTAGGCTCTCCGTCTGGAAAACCTTCTGAAGTGGGGGGAAGTAAATCACTAGCAACTGTCCCATGATGGATCCGAGAACCGCGTAGCAAAACATCTTATTACTGCATAGTCCGATCTCAAACACTGATTTAGTCTGTTGGCAAAGCAGAGAGTTCAACTAGAAGCTGACTACAAAAATCATTTCTTCATTAAGGTACTCACTTGTGATTCTTAATAACCAGTCATCGTCATGTCACTGAATTCTACAATGCCAATACCATGAAAAGTCTGTTTTTGCCAGTCCCAGGGATTGCACTCAGAGACTGGGCACAGTCCCTGAGTCGCTTTGTGCTCATGGCTAGAACTCTACCACTTGAACCACAGCACCACTTTTGGCTTTTTCTGAGTAGTTTATTGGAGATAAGAGACTCACAAACTTTCCTGCCTGGGCTGGCTTTGAACTGTGATCCTCAGATCTCAGCCTCCTGAGGAGCTAGGATGACAGGCGTGAGCCACCAGTGCCTGGAGACATCTCTTAGTTTTAACCATTATTCTAGAATAACTCAGGTGGAGTAAGGGTAAATTTTAAGGCACCTTTTTATTACCAAGAAAAATCTTGTTTACAATCTTACTTCAGTTGCCCAAGGCAGTAAAAAACGTGATTCATGTTTTGCTACATCTTTCCTATTCATTCATTGTTGGAGATAATTTAAAATGGACCTAGACACGTGTAACTGAAAAAGTAAAACTACTTTTCATAAAACAAAAACACAAATATTACCACCTCTCCAAAAACTATCTAAATTATTGCTCATTCCACTATACTTGAAAAGTTCTAGAATGGCTAATATATACAAATGGAAGACAAACCAGAGTATATAAAGGCTGTTTAAACTGAATGACGTCACACCTCAAATAGAACTAGGTTTCAAGAACAATATTCTCTTTGAAAAGGGACAACTAGGTTCTAGTCCATTATTTTCTATTGAAACACTTTTAAGCTGGGCACAAGTGGCTCATGCCTGTAATTCTAGTTGCTCAAGAGACTGAGATCTGGAGGATCCTGACTCGAGGCCAGCTCAGACAGAAAAGTTCAATAAACTCCATCACCAACCAGCCAAGTATCGAGCTGGACACATGACTCAAATGATCAAGAACACCTATTTAGCAAGCACAAGGCTCTGAATTCATTCCCAGTAACCACAAGAAATGCAAAAATAAATACCCAAAACTTTGGTGTGGGCATGACAAGAAGCTAATTTTTCATTTCCTTCTGACAATGCTTTCTTGTAAAAGGAGATAACTCCTGTGTGAATGGAGCTCTGAGATTTGTCCCCTGTCCCAAGGTTAGGCTGAACCTATCTCTACCCCGCAGCCGCAGCAACAATGACAGCGACAAGATCAGCCTCTATCCACCTGAGATTTACTTTGACTTTGAACTGAAGCTAAAGTTTCTATATGCAAATCCCTTATTCTTTTTATTGACCAATGATACATATTTCTAGAAGGCTATGCCCGGGGCTATCAATCTGTGGCTACAAAACCAAGCAAACTTAAAACCCCAGTTATCCTTGCCCGCTTCCTGTTAGGGAACATTCTGCTCAATGAACAAGATCACCTAGGCATACCTGAGATCTGGAACTTAGTGCATTGAACATGTCAAAAAATACAAAACATGTGAAGGTCATTGTTGTGTCTCGAGGTGTTATCACATTGTCTCGCAGCTGTCAAGAGGACAAAAAAAAAACCAATTTACTTTTCAAGGCTGAATTAAGTAAGACAAATAGTGCATGCTTTGTAAATGTTAGTATTTTCCTTCAATTATCATGAACGAGCTGTAGTCTGAGATACAAAATGTTATCAACAGCCTGCATTTGTTTACAAATCACCTATAGAAAATGAGGCCATCACGAGCTGTAATGCTATTTAAGGACCAAGCTTCCAAACTTCTCAATTTTTCTTTCTTTTTTAAGTGGGAAAGCATCTGGGTGCCAGTGGCTCATGCCTATAATCCTAGCTACTGAGGAGGCTGAGACCCAAGGATCGCAGTTCAAAGCCAGCCCAGGGAAGCAAAGTCCATGAGAAACTCTTACCTCCACTTAAGTATCAAGAATACAGAAGTGGAGATATGGTTCAAGTGGTACAGCACCAGCCTTGAGTGGAAAAAGCTAAAGGACAGTGCCTAGGCCCTGAATTCAAGCCCCAGTACCAGCACCAAAAAAATAAAATGAAATGAAATTTAAGTGAGTAAGTAGGTAAATCATAAAATGGGAAAAGCAAGGTGTTTCATAAAGTACACCATGAAGGGAAATGGTGGGGTCGACAGGTGGTTCAAGATCTAACATGTGGTTAAGACATTCAATGTTCTGGGATTTGAAGAGTGTAGAGCGGCCTCACAGTAATGACCCTGGTGATCTTAGGGAAGGGAGGGGTCATGAACCTGACAGAGTTTTGGAGGGGAACTGTGTATGCCCAGGTTTGCCACGCCACAGTTTTAACTATACGTATGAGAGGCCGCGCCCTAAGCACACGGCCTTAAGGAAGAGTTTGTTGTGCAAAGGTCAGGCTAAGGACTCAAGAGGTTCCACTGCACAGCTGTGTCCCCAAATTTCCACGATTAACTTTTTACCGTATCTGACCATTCTCTGTCGCTTTAAGTGACTTTCCATTAGAAATAATGCTATTACACCCCTAACAGACTGAAGCCGAACTCTTCAAAATGTGTTTGTCCCGTTTTTCAGGCAAAGAGCCATCAACATTTGCGTAACATACCAAGATAACTTAAGAATCCTCATCAGAGAGAACGTATGGCAAGACAGTAGTTTATCCAGAGAACGTACCTCACGCCAGAAGACGAACAAAGTCCCACAGACAATGATTATGGATGAGACAAGGATCTTAAGTATCAGATTTTTAGTCAATATGCTGTCCTTCCAGTTACGAGGAGGTTTACGGATGACATCTTTATCCACTGGTTCTACTCCAAGGCTTTTAAAAACAAACCAAAAGCTGGAATTACTTGCAGGAGCTAAGGTATGGATTTACTTTCCCGACTCTACCTTCACTTACCCAGGAAAACAAATACTTCATTATGAGAATAAAAGGTTGACTCATAAAGGAAACCTTGGCTGTGATTTCTTTAAAAAAACAAAACAAAACAAAACAAAACAAAAAAAACTACAGCTGGGCATGAGCCTATGCCTACAGATACCAGCTGCTCCAGAGGCTGGGGCAGAAGGAGGGCTCAGGCCAGGGGTTGAAGGGCAGCCTGGGTAACAGAGACACTTAAAAAAAGTAAAGAAGAGATGATAATTACATCATGTGTTGTTGTGGTTTTTTTCTGCTTTTACCCTTATTTATTTGGCATAGTAATAGGTGTTTGGTAGTCAACTTCCAAAAACTTATTCAATTTCATTTGCATTTAATTATTTAAGTTTGAGGGGCTGGGAAGGTGGCAGAGTGGCAGACTGTGTGTCTCATAGGCATGAGGCCCTGGGTTGGATTCCTTAGCACCACATAAACAGAAAAGGCTGAAAGTGGCGCTGTGGCTCAAGTGGTAGAGTGCTAGCCTTGAGCTGAAGAGCTGAGGGACAGTGCCCAGGCCCAGAGTTCAGGTCACACAACTGACAAAAACAAACAAAATCAATAAGCATATATATATATATATGAAAACCGGTTCTGGGGCTTGAACTCAGGGCACTATCCCTGAGCCTCTTTGTATTCAGGGTTACCACTCTACCACACTCAGAGTCATAGTGCCACTTCCAGCTTTTTCTGAGTAGTTTTTATTGGAGATAAGAATCTCATGGACTTTTCTGCCCAGGCAGGCTTCAAACCATGATCCTCAGATCTCAGCCTCCTGAGTTTTAGCTAGGATTACAAGCATGAACAACCAGCAACTGGCTGAACAGTATTTTTTAAGCAACATGGTTTCTACTAGGATGATTTGCTGCAATGGCTAATGACACTTGATTCCTCTATAATTACAAAATGAGACTCCTTTAGTACTTCCCAAAGCCTCTAAAATGGACAGGAATCTACACAGATAATGAAGAAATCTGACTCCAGCATTAGTAAATGTAATTTTTGGAAATAAAAAGCTAACTTCCTGAGGACAGGAAGTGACCTAGTTCCCTGATCCCCTCTCACTCAAGGGCAAGGCGATGGACACAGGGCAAAGCTCAGACCCACACTAGGTGAATTACCAGCCAGGAGAATTAATGCTATGTGCACATCACACAATTTGTAGCAAACATATTTACTGCCATATTTTCTAACACTGTCCATAATGAAGTTTTGAAACTTAATTATCAGAATGATAATGATGTTGATATTCTAGTTCACACATGGAAAAAACTCTGACCTTTGAGCAGGGGGTCCATCCATAATGATATTGATCCACAGAATCTGCATTGCATTGAGGGGATTAGGAAAGTTCATTAATGTAGCCAGTGAGATTAAGGTTAGTGCTGCTATACTCCTGTTGGAAGAGAGTCATTTAAAAATCTGTCAGCGCAGTAAAATTTCCAACTTACATATTTCTTAAAGTATTTTAAAAATCTCATGTTACTAGTCTATCCTAAACGCCTATGATTCAAGTAAACTATATTTGAACATTTTAGATAGCAATGGGTTTTTGTTTTTTTGCCAGTCCTGGGGCTTGAACGCAGGGCCTAGGCTCCGTCCCTCAGCTCTTCAGCTCCAGGCTAGTACTCTACCATTTAAGCCACAGCGCCACTTGTGGCTTTTTCTATGTGGTACTGAGGAATCAAAGCTAGGGCTTCCATGCATGCTGGGCAAGTACTCTACCACTAAGCCACATTCCCAGGCTAGATAGCAATATTTTAATATAAGACTTCCAAGATTTTTAGACATTGACAAAGAGAGGAACATCTTATTTTTTGGGGGGGAGGGGAATCAGTCATGGGCCTGGGAGCTGTCTCTTGAGCTCTTCAGCTCAAGGCCAGCACTCTACCACTTTAGCCACAGCACCACTTCCAGTTTTCTGAGTGGTTAATTAGATATAAGAGTATCTCAGCCTTTCCTGCCCAGGCTGGCTTTGAACTGCGATCCTCAGATCTCAACCTCCTGAGTAGCTAGGATTACAGGCGTGAGCCACTGGCACCTGGCAGAACATCTTCAAAACAAACAACAAACAAACAAGCCAGGTACCAGTGGCTTATGCCTGTAATCCTAGCTACTCAGGATGCTGAGATCTGAAGATCACAGTTCAAAACCAGCCCAGGCATGAAACTCCATGAGACTCTGATCTCCAATAAACCAGTAGAAAACTGAAAGTGGCGCTGTGGCTCAAGGGGTAGAGCGCTCACCTTGAGCTGAAGAGCGCAGAGACAGCATCCAAGCCCAGAGCTCAAGCCCAACAACCGACCAAAAAACAAACAAACAACGACAACAAACAGTATCTCTCTAGGAAGCCAAAGCTGACCTGGAACTTGTAATCCTCTTATGTCAGTCTCCCCAAACCTGGTATTATAGGCATGTGCTACCAAACGCAGCTGAGAGGAAGATTTCATTTTTAAAAATCTATGTAGCAGTTACCATTTCAACAGCTAACTGGTTTTTTCCTTCTTGAGTTCAGAGCATATGTAAGATCTCTGAGCTTCTTTACTCAAGGTGAGCTACTCTACTGCTTCAGCTACAGCTGTGTTTCTGGTGATTAATTGAAAGGAAGAGTCTCATGGACTTTTTTCCTTGGACTAGCTTCAAATCACAATCCTTAAATCTGAGATTCCTGAGTAGCTAGAATGATAAGGTAAGCCACCCATGTCCAGTTCCAATTGCCTTTTCTTTTTGGTGGGTCATGGGGCTTGAACTCAGGGCCTGGGTGCTCTCCCTAAATTCTTTTGCTCAAGGCTTGCGCTCTATCACTTTGAGCCATGGAGCCACTTCCAGTTTTCTGGTGATTAATTGGAGATAAGAGTCTGACAGGGGACTGGGAATGTGGCTTAATGGAAGAGTGCTTGCCTAGCATGAATGAAGCCCTGGATTCAATTCCTCAGTACCACATACACAGAAAAAGCCAGAAGTGGCACTGTGGCTCAAGTGGTAGAGTGCTTGCCTTGAGCAAAAGAAGCTCAAAGACAGTGTCCAGGCCCTGAATTCAAGCCCCAGGACTGGCCAAAAAAAAAAGTCTCTCAGACTTTCCTGTCCGAGCTGGCTTTGAACCACAATCTGTAGATCTCAGCCTCCTGAGTAGCTAGGATTATAGATGTGATTCTTCCGTGCCTGGTTCCAATTGCTTTTTGTTTTTTGGGTTTTATTTTGGTCCGGTCGTGGGCCCTGAACTCTGGGCCTGGGCGCTGTCCCTCAGTGCTTCAGCTCAAGGCTAGCGCTCTACCACTTGAGCCACAGCGCCACTTCCGGCTTTTTTCTTTTTGCTTATGTGGTGCTAAGGAATCAAACCCAGGGCCTCAGGCATGCAAGGCAAGCACTCTACCACTAAGCCACCTTCCCAGCCCATCCAATTGCTTTTTAACTATAGAAGAGCCTTGTATTTTCAGGAAAAGATTCTAAAAGGAAACAGTGATTTATGCTCAGGCCCTTAGACTTCAGAAGCTACTAAGTTACAAACATTTATATAAGTATATGCTTATATCTTCAGTATTCATTGGGCACTGGCTCCAGTACCCCTCAGATACCAAATCCCAGTCTCTTATATTCTCCTCTATAATCATCTCAATAATAGCTAATACAATCTAAGTGCTCTGTAAATAGCTGTAATCATGTACTGTTTCAGGTAATAACAATGGCAAATACTTATATATGTTTACAAACATATGTAATTTTTCTGAATATTTTCAATCCACAGTTGGACCCACAGAGGTGGAACCTGTGGATAAATATTTTAATGATGATATAAGCACCTACTTACCAATTCAGAATCACATCATGTCTTTTTTTTTTTTTTTTGCCCGTTCGGGGGCTTGAACTTGGGGCCTGGGTGCTGTCCCTGAGCCTCTTTGTACTCAAGGCTAGCACTTTATCACTTGAGCCACAGAGCCACTTCTGTGATAAGAGTCTCATGGACTTTCCTGCCTGAGCTGGCTTCAAATCATGCCTTAGATCTTAGCCTCCTGAGGTACTGGCCCCCCGCTGCCATGTTAAATTCCAGAATCACAATTTTCTTTTTGGAAAACATACATGGAAAAATTTTTAGACATTCTGCTGAAGTTTTATTTTTCTCATAAATTATATAGAAGACCCCATAGGAAACAAAACTCTTACAAACTTACGTGCTCAGTTGAAATCTAACAAAATTTTTAATGTTATTATAAATGCCTTTACCCTCTTCAATTGCGGACCTGAAATTTTAAAAATAAAGAAGAAAATATTACATTATTTTTTTTAATTCTGAAACTAAATTTCTATTTAAACATCATATGTATCTTAATTTTTTTCTTCATATAAGATTAGAAAAAATACAGCAAAACTATTTTAGCAAGGAATTGAAATCAAGTCTATTATGCTCTATCTAAACCTATTTCATTATTCAATATTAAAAAATTTTACTCTTAAAATATATTTCAGGGCTGGGGACATGGCTCAAGTGGAAGAGCACCTGTCTAAAAAATGGAAAGCCAGTACTGCAAATACATACACACATACACACAAATATGAGCACACATAACTGTGTCTCTACAAGAGATAATAGTACACATTTTTTATGCTAAAATAATGACATTTTTTACCCTTCAAAAAGCTCACTATTTTTTTTGGTCTGTCATGGGGCTTGAACTCTTGGGCACTGTCCCTCAGCTCTTCAGCTCAAGGCTAGTGCTCTACCACTTGAGCCATAGCGCCACTTCTGGTTTTCTAGTGGTCTTTTTGGAGATAAGAGTTTCAAGGACTTTCCTGCCTGGGCTGGCTTTGAACCGTGATCCTCAGAGCTCAGCTTCCTAAGTAGCTAGGATTACAGGCATGAGCCACTGGCGCCCAGCAAGCTCATTATTTTTAAAGGGTTATATTAGTATATGTCCAGAATTAAACAGCAATCAGATATGCAAGAATTATGGAATGTAAGCTATGTGTTGCTTCTATACACAAGTAATAAGAGGTAAATACTTGTTTCTTTTTTTTTTTTTTTTGGGTCCGGTAGTGGGGCCTGAACTCTGGGCCTGGGCGCTGTCCCTCAGCTCTTCAGCTCAAGGCTAGCGCTCTAC